TGGCGCGTCCGCTGCCATCTCCTAGTCGGATTGCCTGTTTGCAGTGTGTTTGGTACTGTTATCTGCGTGGTAATGGCTGATCATGACGCAGAGCAGCTAAAGCCGCAAGGAAGCTGTCTCGCTGATGCCGTCTTATCTTTGCACGATAGCCATTTGTTTGCGACGGTGGCCGAGCGACCTGTACGTTTGCTTTGCAACCATAAGGTCACCGGTTCAGATCCGCGTAGGGGTGGGTGTCCTCGCGGTGTACTCAGCCCGCGCGCGACGGGTGGTGGTCGCGCGGCAGCGAAGCGCCGTTACGGCATACAGCTGACATTATTATTATCTACATAAGGTGTAGGCGCCTTGGCCCTGAATGTTTGCTTATGAATTAAGAGTTTCAGATAATTCCCCCTTATCTCCCTCTTATTCTTTATTTCATAGATCCTCAGGGTTGTATGGCAGCGAAGTATCAGTTCATAGGGCTAATGTACTGCGGTTTTGATGATGTTTAACTCTCCTTCCCACTAAATAAATCTTAGCATAAGTGTGGCCTACCGTGTAAAACTGTATCGTCGTTCGGTCACGTACTAGAAAGCAAAGTTTCAGGTAGCACCGCCATTTAGTTCCTTCTCACCATTCGCACACATGCAACGAATACTATGCTCAAGAAAGCAAAGTCATTTCAGACCGGTCACTTTTGATGAGGTTCCGAAACTTTTACATTTTCAGCAGATCGAAGATCAGGAAAGTTTATGGAGATCGCCTTGAGCTCTCTTAAGAAGACATATAGACTCATCGAAGGCTAAGGTCGCAGCTGAAGTTGTGGGAGCCGACTACTGTGGGCCAGACAGGAAGAAAGCTCGGCACTAGGTTACAGGAGCATGGCCTAACCATCCGCCGACATGACCAAAACTCCTGATGTCGGTACAAATGGACGCCGAGAATCATCAATTTGATTTGGAGAATGTCAGGATCATAGGCAGGGCAAAGAGTGGAAAAGCACGCGAGTTCATCGAGGCATGGTACTCGGGGAAGAACTCAATCAACAGGCACTTAGATCTGGACACTGCCTATGAAACACTGAGGGTCAAACGAATAGTCCGTCCCAGATCAACAGGACGAAGGAACCTCATTGAGGCGGACTCTAGCCAACAGTACGAGACAGCTGACTACACCATCAGCTCCCATGGACCACTAGACTCCTGACGTGCGAATCAAGTGATCAATAATCACTTGGATCTGTAAGTGGCCCGCGTAAATCGCACTGATGATGTCGTCTAGCCTGAGGATGAAACGTTTGCAGCCAAATCAGCCAGCTCGGAGAACACCCGCATACCCTCATCCGCATCCTGTGCTACAAATATTCTTACGGGTCTCTAACTATTACATAAGCCCCTGATGGCTTTTGGATGAGCCGTTGACACTGAGCTTTTGGACACTTAAGAAGGATGTACAGATCTCTAACCGAGGGGCGCTTCAACCTCGTTGCGCCCTGATCCATCTCCTCATGAGAATGTTCACGGTTTCAAATGAACTTGAAAATACATTTGACTTGACGTAGTTACAAAATCTGCCGACTTGTGATTTCATGTTCATTCATAGCCGGCTGCTAATCATCTTCAACTGTCATTGGTGGGATGGATTGTTTTACAATCCGTACCGTCTTCCAATCGCCGACTCCCCAGCTACTTGAACTGGAGTGTGGCGTTCGGTGTTTTCAATGATGTTTTCGCTGTTTGGATAAGATAGACGCCAAATTATTCGTATGCAGACAGAGTACTCCTCAGTTCTGTTGTAAAATATTTCTACATGCTGTGCAGAACACCACAAATGGGTCGCTTTTTCCTCATTCATTTTGTTGTAGCAGTCTTGATGGCACATTCTTGGCAAGCGTTCGCTAGAAGAGATTCCTGAAAAGTTCAGTGCGTTTCATAGAGCTTTTCAGGAGTAGCTTACCCACTGTTGTCTACGGTAGTTTGTACCTATACAAATGATCTTAATAGCTCAATTCATGGGGTGCTTCAGTATGACCAAGTCTTGAAAGCAATTTGTCACCCTGATGTCAGACCAACAGTAAATATTTACAGTTGCTCTTAAGAGAAGTCACAAAGTTACTAAGGAACAATTGTACAATCTTTAACTGACACTGTCACGTTTCTAAAGATTGCGATTTACCAAGAATCGATACTCGATATCTTCCTTGACAAGTATTAGCAGAATTTTGTCTTGTGTTATTGTTTAAGCTTACATAGAATGAAATCCTCTATATCGTACACAACTTCTGTTATGGAAATTTAGAATTCTGGGGGTCAACCCTATATTTTGCAATGTTGGTGACCAACACTACAATGAAGGACAGGTAACGCTACCACGCAGTTAGCTTGGAATGTATGCGGACCTCCTGCCGTCACCGTTTGCCTAGTGATATCAACTGCTGGTCAGTGGGGCAAGCTGCTAGTGTTTAGAGGTCGTGGGCTCGATTCCTGAGTCCCAATAGGACAAAGCTGCCGTCTGGTGCTCTTTAGTATACTTGGTAGGCCATCTGACTTGTAAGCTACTGCGATTGACTAGGATACAAATCGAGTTTCATCTGGAGAATACTTCGCGCGGTACAGTATGGTTAGATCTCGAATTGTTGAGCTGAAAGTTGAATTTTGTCGAGTACAATGGCAAGCAATCAGTATGGCTGTACAGCTGTGGCCTGATTAATAGAGTTACTGGAAATGTGTATATCGGTTCTGTAAATCAGCCATTGGCAGCTTACGTGAATATCAAATCCAGCGACCTAAAGTTTCGGATCACCGGTCAAATACATCTAAGTATCAGATGAGCTTAGATATCTAGTGTCATCCCTAGCTATAGTCTATAGTCCGGGATCGGTAAAACCTATGTGCTGAGCGTTTGACGTCTGCCCTATGTATCTATGTTTTGATTCATTAACTGGCCAGATCCAATCTCAAGCACCTAAATAAGTGCCATAGGTTGTTAGACAGCTAAGTAAGTAACCTAGATATGTTTTCCGCGCTACTTTTTATAGCTCTCAGGATAAGGATATAAAAATGCGGAGAAATGATTATCGATTGATTCACAAGTAGATAAGACAAACGATGTCAGCTGTATCTTTTCCGTAAGGTCAAAAGAATAGGAATTTAGAACCTCACCCTTATATGGTGTATCCTTAACGTTGCGTTGGAAGAGCTAAATGGGTTGGCAAAGGCATGCTTCGTATCTAGGAAATATTGTGTTCATATTAGTTCACCACTGCTGTTGAACCGTTTAGTGTTCACACATCTCAGCATCTGAAGTGCAGATGTTCTCGAATTTTCATACGGTAGAGGGTGCTGCTTGATCAACTGAAGAAGGCATGAAAAGCTGCAATATTGCCAAATACCCTATCATTCACTGGCACACAGTCGGCCGGTGCCCGAGTGATCTGCGCGTTTGGTTTGCGACCATAAGGTCACCGGTTCGAATCCGCGTAGGAGTGGGCGTCCTCGCGTTATATTCAACCCGCGCGCGACTGGTGGTGGTCGCACGGCAGCGAAGCGCCGTTACGGCGTACAGCTGACACATTTATTAATTATCTTATCACTGGCACACCACAGCTAAACGGGCCGAAATGCCAGGCGCCTCTTCCTACCCACTGGTTTATCCCAGCTATTCGTTGTTAGTATAGCGAACGACGTCAATGAGTAGAAAATCGTTTTTGTCTAGTTTAGATTAGTTTCTGCATAACGGAGTGAGCTATCAGTGATAAGTTGTGTTACTCATATGCCAGAAGACGGACTTGTGTTTCGACGTCGACAAAAGCATTAGCTGCATTCTTGGTATCCCGTTTGTGTGCCTGATTCTACTCGTAATCTTCATGATCATCAAGGTAGATGAGGCCAGTGGTGTTCTACAAGGTCTGTACATACAACAACAGACAAGTGCATATTGTCTATTTCTCGACGTGGGTGGATATGCCATAATGAAGTAACATCTGGTGTTCCTAGTTAGAAAATAGTAAAGTTACCGGATTATATGAATTTTGTTTATTCATCCGAGTTGCCAGTTTTCGTTGCAGAGACATCAAAAAAACACTGAGGATGTGATAGCTGGACCATAGTCATGCTTTAGAAGAAGAAGAAATATCTACAGAACAGCTGTCTTTGGTCTCTGTTGCAGTTGTTTTCGATGTAACAGTCTTGTAAATTCCATACCTCGAACACCAACACCTAATTTCTGAATTACTGCAGCACCACAATTATACGACGTATAATTTTTATTTTATGGTGTCTAAAGACCGTCTGGTTTTGATAGCTGTGCCTCTAATCGAAATACGTTTTCTCATGACGCCTAGTGTCAACTGGGGCAAAGGATCCCCTGTGACCCACTGCTCTATTTCAACGAGGCCCCGTTATATATCTTATCCAAACAACGTTCATCCAAAGCATGTTAGTCTTAAATTTCCCACTAAATGTGTATTGGTTGTGCAACCAGACCTTTACAGACACTGGAAAAAAGCAACAGGTTTGTTGAGTGTGGCACAAAGTTGGTTAGGCAATGCGATTGAATCTGCTGACTTTACATTTTTACTACTTTGTATTGAAACAGCACCTAAAAGTGGTTATTACTGAGGGGTAATGGGATCCAAATCTCCAGAGTACCGATTATTATCAAACTAGTCACTTTCATTATACGTTCTGTGAACCAGTGAACTGCAAACAAAGCCGAAGATCTCATACTTGTTACATATAAATTATAAACCAAACTTTGCCGAAGTGTGAAAAATTAAATTTCCTTGGGATTTGGCGACAGCGCACCGCGTCAATTCAAAAGGCGCAATATCCAGACACATAAATCAATCGGGCCAGTATCTCGGCGGTTTGTAGGTGACAGACAAACTAACTAAGCAACGCTTTCAACTTTCTTTAGGATCACCCGGTGGTAAAAACTTGAGAAATACGAAAGTCTGAAGCAAACTGTTTGAAAGCACACCATTATCACTAATCCTGCTTCCTACCACAAATTTTCAGGAATGCGATCGACGATCTCGGGAATTCAAGGGACGTCTCAACGTGACAGATTTTATCACATTCTTTAAAAAACTCTCCACTCGTCAAGAAATCTACCATCTACTTGTTAGGTGAGTTTATCATCAATCATCAAACAGTCTGTGACAGTATTTGCATGCATTAGGTCTTGACCAGTCTCTGATGCGGACTCTTATTTTCCTGGTGCGTTTCTATATTCATGGCGGTCAGCCAACTTAGCTGAAGTATACATTCAAATTGTCTAGCTGCTCGATTGAAGAAAGGTTCCGATTGCGGACACCTATGCACATAAAAGGTAATTCGATATTCGCAGCCTCATGCACTGCAAACGAGATCGAATCTGTCAGACTGCAGCCACGTGACCTAATTCTCGTCACCTGTTGTGCCACACATGCCCCGAACATGAGGTCGATATGCCAGTGCGTTTCGCATCTCGGAATGTGGGAAACAGTGGCCAATGGCCGAGTGATTGGAAGCTTCCTACTTTTCTACTTCTGACGGCCGCCTCTTCAGTGCAAACCGCACGGCGGTTTAGTTCGATCGATTTACCGCCAACTGACTTCTTATCAGTTCGTACCTGTTTCTAACGTTGAAAAGATTACAACGTAAGCACTCTTGGTTAACGAGCAATTTTGCTTAGCTGGGACAGAAAATGAAACAAATATGCAACGTGTAATTCAATGGCACTGAATATCTATCAAATTCTCAGTACAATCGGCACTTCAGGCAACCTTTCGAAGTCACCGCAGTCAACGTGCTCATTTTTAGTGTCTCGTGAAAGGATTTGTTTGATATGTTGGTATAACCGGTGCAGATGAGAGCAGTGTCAATATTTAGATAACACATAGTTTAAATTCATAACTTATACCCCTCCGAACGTAAGAATGGTAACCACGAAGGAATTTCCTTGCGGTAAATCTCATCAGGCTAATGCAAATATGAAATACACACATAAGCTGTTTCCAGCGATACCGCGATTTGACGAGTATGCTCTGAGCTGAAGAACAGGTTGAGGTGGATCTCACCAGATGTGGCAATCAATACCAATTTAAACACACTGTCATAGACCAACATACCTGCCGTCGCCTGACTATATTCTGGTCATGGGAGGACTGAACTTTGTACACGTACACACTATTCGTTCAGTTTCTGCTGTAGCCGCTTGATTACTATTACCGTTACCATGGCTTTCTGAGGCCTTCTGGGCTACGTTTTTATGCGACGCAAACTACTTCAGAAGCTATTTTTGTTCTTAATTGTTGTCGTCCATAGAGCTGTGAACGATTATAGTCGTACCATGTTCTAGAGTGGCAGAACAGTGTTCTGAAATTTGCTTTAAAAGTCGTCTGGTCGTACGTACAAGTTACGTTGCACCACAGCTACAGGTGAACTGATGTATAACGAAGGGTTCGGATTGGAGCGGAATCCTGTATTTTAAAAGGTGGATTTTGTGAGGACCGCTTTTGTTGAGGATGTGAAATCCAGCTGTCGAGTATGTTTGTCTTAGTGCAGAAGAAAACCTCCTATTCGACTTTTCAATTTATTGAAAAGAATACTTTCTTGTTCTTAACGGTTACTTGCTTCAGGATCAACTCGAATCCTAGAAGGCTTTCTGATATAAGCAATAGATTGTCCTTTGCTTTCCAGTATCTAATTGTTTTAAGTCCTTTACAGCTTCTATCAACTCTAGGATGCAAGTCCTTGTAACCCGGTAGTGAAGACAACGGATGTGATGGTAACATCAGATCAAAGTGAGCAGGTAGACCAACCGAGCAAGCCAAACAGCCAAAGAGAGGCAGGCGTGACGGATTGGATTACTGGACTCGGCTTAGCCGAAATTCGTGTGTGTGATTCGCCGTTTGTTTAGCTGAGTAGTAGTAGTAATCTCAACAGTCTAGTAACTAGACATAGAGCTGAAGCAAAGGAGGCACCTCATCAACTCAGAAGGGTCGTTACTTATGGACTTGAACCTGCAATTTATATCCAGTAGTTTGGCTTGGTAAACATGCTGTGATTTTCTCTGAACTGTGATTGCCGAATAAAGGCTCGTCCCTGTAGGATTGAGTTCTGCAACATGGTGTTAGAGAAGACAAAGCCGAACCCCATTGGCGGCGCGCGGATGTTGTTTGGAAGACCAGTGTCTATTCAGATGCCTGCCCCACTGAACATGGATGCACGGAACTTGACGAGTGGTTGGCGTCTATGGAAGAGCAAGTGGGAGGATTTCTGCACTTTAGTAAGTTTGGACAATCGACCGATGGCGGATCGTTTAGCCACGCTTCGACACGCTGCCGTGGATGAGGCGCGCCGTGTTCTAGAGACATTGCACTACGACAAAGGCGGAGATCTTAATAATTTGGAGTCGGTCAGTGAAACGTTCAATGAATTTTGTGAAGCTCAAACCAACGAGACTTACCAGCGCTATCTTTTTTTCGCACAACAGAAGCTCAAACGAATCAGTCGACATGTACATCACTGAAGTTTAGATTTTAGCCCGATCCTGCAATTTCTGTAAATGCTTCGGCGACAGTCTCATACGCGGTCAAATTGTCCTACGAATCAATGATGAAATTACGACGAAATGGCTTCTACGACAACGCAACGTATCGCTCCAGCGGTGCATCGATATCTGCAACCTTGAATCCTAGACCACCTATCAATACGACCAAATGAAGCTCGCAACAGATGAGGAATTGTGTGCCGTTTCCGGAGGTGATGAAGCGAAGGCTACTAACGTGAGATAGGAGATCTGAAAATTTTGCGCCACGCGACATCCGAGTACCCGCGAACAGTGTCCGGTGTGAAGACGGAGATGCGCCAGATGTGGAAAAAGGAATCGCTTTGCTTGTTGCTGCTAAGCAACCAATGTGAGTGCAATCGTTCGTGATAAGTCCCCCACAGACGCAGAACATTCAATCGGCAACGTGTTTCGGAGGGTACTGCAAAAATGTGTTTACGCAACTCTTTTGATCGAAGGCAAAACCGTACGATTCCATTTAGACACAGGTGCTACTGTCAACCTTCTACCAAAGAAGCACTCTCCCAGGGTGTGCATTCGATCCGATCAAAATTGCCTGAGTAGTGGAATGGTCCCAAAGTTCATCCGAAGGACTCAGCTACAATCGAAGTGGTTAACCCAAGTGGCGGAATCTCATATCGACTGGAATTTGTGGTCGTGGAGGAGGAGCTCACGCCTATTCTCGGCATGATTCGATCCAGGTTTTGTTCTTTTTAATCACGATCGTTTACTGCATGTCTGCCAGGGGAAACCGATACTAGTGACCAGGATCCGTCTGTGTTTAGGGCATGTTTTGGAAAATTTGAGAGAACCACCCACTTGTTCTTGGATCATTTTGATAAAGCCGACAGCGCTACCGGCTAAGAGAGTTCCATTTGCACTACGTGACAAGTTCTCCGCTGAATTGAGCACATTATGGAGAGAGGGTGTGCTTGCCAAAGTCGACGAGCCAACCGAAAGGGTTAGTCAGGTCGCAATCATTACTAAGAAGACGGGCGAACTGAGTGTGCGTATTGATCCAAAACCGTTGAATGAGGTCTTGCGTACAGAACATTAAGCGCTAGATACCCTGGAAGATATTTTGCCGCGTTTGGTCAAAGCTGTGTTTCACGAAGATAAACCACTCTTCGACATTCTGGCATCTGGTTCTAGATGATGGATTCAGTTTCCCTACCACCTATGCAAGACCGTTCGGGCGTTATCGTTGGCTGCGTTAACCGTTTGGCTTGAAAGTGTCGAGTGAAATTTCTCAAATGCAATTTATGCAAGCGGTAAAGGATTTAGGTGGTGTAATATGCGTGGCAGATGATGATTTGAGTTATGGCTCTAAATAAGAAGAGCACGAAGCTAATCTCCACCGTTTCTTGCAGCGTTGTGTGCAAAAGGACATCAAGCCTAAAGGTGGAAATTTGAACCTCGGAAAGACGATGTGATTTTCCATGGGCATTCGCTAACAACACATGGTGTCAGGGTCAGTCTAGGAAAAATTCGGGCAATTCAAGAGGTGCCACCCCCTAACAACTTGTAGGTAATCCATCGCCTAAACAGTGTGGTAAATTACTCGAGCCGCTTTATGCCAAGAATCGCTGAAATCATGACGCTGATCAGGAAGTTAACTCACAAATGAGTAAAATGGAGTTGGGGAATAGAACAGGAAACCTCATTCAAAACTATTAAGCATCTCATCAGCAACGCGCCTGTGCTTGGGTATTACGATCCAGCGCAGCCTTTGGAGGTACAATGTGACAGTATCTAAGACGGAATAGGTGCTGTTCTCTTACAGAATGAAAAACATTTGGATTTCCGCTGTCCGGCACTCACCTTGACCGAGCAGCTCTATGCGCAGATTGAGAAGGAGATGCTTGCGATAATCTATGCAATGAAGCGTTTCAACAATTATACTTTCGGAAGAAAGGCAACGTTGTATACCGAC